TCCATATAATATGCTTGTGGTATTCAGAATACGTCGAGATGAGAACAGACGATGAGAGTTTGAGGATATAAGGTTGAGTAGTATAAACGAGGAATGTTATGTATGCGGTGATAAATAATAAACAGTGTGATGCAGCAGGACAATAATAATGTTAGAGAGAGAGAGTATACTGCAATCAAGCAAATTATCCAAAGAACATCACCTATTTCTTGAATATCAGCTTAGGGCTGTAAGTTCAAGAATGTCCATGGCCATTGGTTGCACTCAGTCGGTTTGTCTCGAAATGATCCGTTCCGGAACACAAATAAAATCTCGTGTTTTATTACATGCGAGTAATGGAGGATTTGATTCACTTTCATAGAGGGAATTCGTCATGTATAGAACAAATAAAGCGTGAAGTGAAAAGCTACGAGGCAGTGGACAGCTGTTTCGACCTGGTTGTAGTGCGAATCCATCGACCTAACTGGGGGTCGAACCCAGGACCTCACAGGCCAAACGCTAACATGCTACCCACTCGACACAATCAAGTCGAAATAGTTGTCCATGGATTCCTAGCTTTTCATTTCACGTTTCATTTGCTCTCTGCGCGATGGATTCCCTCTATGAAATCGAATCAAATTCTCCTATACTCTCTTCAACATCTAATCAGGTTGTGAAAATTTCCAACCGTATCATAATCCCGGAGACCAGTGCTATGATGGGAGATGAGCTAGGCCCGCAACAAGCTCGCAAAGATGGACTGTTTTACATCGCTTTTTTTGTTGTTCCGTCCTTTCCACAATTTTACTGTTTCCTTTAATATTGTCCGTTACACAAATCCCCCCCCCCCTGTCATCGCAACCATTTCTTATTTCTCCGGAATTGGCCTTCCACGTTTGTAGAATGTCTCTGGTCCGATGTGTATCCTGTGTTCAAAAATCGTATATCTCGTCTTCGTGACCGTTCTCAACCATTTTCTCGAAACACGGCACAGAATTTGGCCAGTTTAGCTATGCAGTTTGTCAGTGCGTGCACCACTCAACCCATGGCATCAAGGTGAGTTTTTTCTTTCGTATGTAGCTGTCTACTATTGATTTGTCGATTCTGTCTGTACGTATACCTCTCACAATGCCTTTTTCCCTGACACACCATGGTGTAATAAATTGGTGAAGGGGTGAAGCTCATAGTTACAAGAACCTACCTATTCACTTGCGGAAATCGTCCATCTAAAGGCTGATCTTTGGATCGGCAAACCCAAAACCAAATGGGACAGATTTGATATTGTGCCTGAGGATAGTGATTTACACTGTTTTGCCATGAACATTATCCACGTGATTCTCACTGTCTGTCTAGGCAATGAAAACTGTTAGGACTGGATTATGTCAGTCTCGTTTGTAAAAAGACTAAGTAGATGCACAGACGCCAGTGTTGAAGACACTCAACCATGACACTCAATATCTCTAACCGTCAACTCAATCTATCCCACGACCCGTTTGTCCTAATCTAATGGTCAAGGCTTTCATTCCCCTGTGTCACGTCTTATTCTGACCATCCTTGGCCTTCTTCCACTCACCACCTACGTCTTTTAAAAACATCACCTGATGACAGGCATAACGCACGTCCCGGTCACCGCAACTTACGGCGATCATTAAGCACTCGCGTGATTACTGTAAACTCACGGTCGAAACGACTGGCAATACCGTGCAATGCCGTTTAGACATCGGTGTTCTGGCACCGATAGCCAAATTTTATCCTTGTCCCCGTACCAACTGGAGAGCCGCAGCATCGGCTACCGGTGTACGAACCGAGTCCACCTGGGATTTTTTTGTGAGCATGCCATAAATGTCCAAAGTTGGCAAATGTCAATCGAGCCTTGATTTATGATGAAAAGCCTTAACAATTAAGCGAATTTCAATGAATTACGGTTCGTTTTCACTGTGAAGTGATTCTCTCCCTATAGGTAGATCGGGGTACAGAGCAAAGTGGATTCATCACATACAACTCCCCATCCCATCCCGACTCACCCCACATCACCTTAGCACCACCCTATTACAACCATAGGCAGGTCTGCTATGGTCTTTTTGTGTTCCACCCTTTTTTGTCGATTTGGGTTTCTTACAGTTCACCACACACGGTAACTGGTTCTCCAAACGATGACACACCTGGTCCTCGTCACGGTAAGGTTCATCGTGAAAAAACAACGAAATGGTGGTGGTATCACTTGTGCACAAATGTGTAGCACTTTTTACCTCGACACATTTCAGTGTTCCCCGTCAACGATGGGCACTGCAACGCACGTCCCGAGCATGAACCGAGTTCTTGGGATCCAAATAGCACAGAATTTTGGTGATTCCTCACTGATTGATCAGCTTGATCAAAAGGGGTCAAATTGTCCGAAATGTCGGACGAGTTGTAATCTGTCTGGTGTTTCGAACTACTATAAGCCAAACAGCCAGACAAACAGACAGGTATCAGGTCACACCGGTGCACGCGATTTCTTATTCTCCACTTTGCTGTCTGATGTCTCTCGGTTTCAATGTCAAATCATAAGCCAGTTCGACTGAGGTTAAATGACGTGATTTTTCATGTTCACTGATCNCACTGATCATGGAATCTGTCCGAGGTGCAGTGTAATTCCGACGTAGCTTCTTTTGCCGCATGTTGTACTGCATCATCTTGATTTCATCATTTATTGATTGATCACTCCTTTTTAGAACTTGTGCCCTAATTTGTAAAGACTTTTATCCTCGATATGGGGTACATCCATCCACAGACTAGTTTTCAATAGCATATTTTGCTCAAAAATCTGGAGACTATCTGAAATTCCCATCAAGTCAGTGGAAATTGGGTACAATCAAAAGTTAGGATTTTATGTTTCTATATTAGTAATATATATATATATATATTACATGTTTTACCTTCAGGGCATCCTCTTAGTGTATTAGTGCATAAAACACTGAGGCGAATTCTATTCCGGAAATATGTTCCGTGATATGGGAATCAAAACACAACTCGTTGGAGAAACGCCAGTTGAACCTTTTGCTTCATACACATCTGTCTTATCAGTAGTATACCAGACCCTCAGACCTCCTGGTTTCACATTTTATCTGGAAATCGGGCTTACTGAATATAGAGATGTAGATAATTGCAAAAGAGTTATTCGGTGAATATTCACGTGGACTTTTGTTAAAATCCATCCAATCGTCCCTTGCATTATCGATATCGCCCCTAGTCGAATCCGCGTACCCGTATGAAGCAGACTGGATTGAGTCCAAGCACAGCAGTTTTTGACTGATTCTCGTGAGTCATCGAATGACCGATAGGATCGAATATGTGTGGAAAATCTTCACTACTTTCAGTCATTCTGTTTAGTTCAGTTTATAACCATTAACCATGCAATTTCATGCACCGGATTTAGTTGCTGTCTTTTGATTACCTATCTGGATAAAAGAGCAGAATGAAGGTTGGAATGTCGAGAGCAGAGTCAAAGAGAAGATAGTGAATGCATATACCCTGAGGTTGCAAGATTAATGACTGGATGCCCAAATGCCACTGTTTGCGACACAGCCATATCACTCAGTGTCTCTAACCCCCGGTTATCATGATCTCGGGGTTCCCATCCAACACTACACTTTGAGTATGTACAACGCATACCGAAAATTTCTATGCTAGCACTCAAACTACCCAGAAAAGTTTGCAACTTACCTGGATCTTCACTTGTTAGCATAATGACGAGGTTGAGTAGAAATGAAGAGAGGGAGACATCAAACCTAACGAACACTACCTACTGTAGTGAACTCGGGCGAGTTCGCCCAAATTCGTTCACTCTGTCTAGCTCAATGATCGAGTGGTTCTCCTCTGGTTGATCTACCGTACGCTGGTGTTGTAACCAGTACTTCTCATGGCTCGCTTTGTTGATCCCGTCAGAACCTTATGCGTTTCGATACTCCAAACCTTAGTTTGCCATCCACTTGACTGAATTCAGAGCATAACATTGTTTAATTAAAAGCTTACCTGTCAGTTCTTATATATTTTTATCAAAACACAGCTGGGATGCAAACACATATGTTTCTGGTGGTCTCATTCGTAAACCCTTACGTAGGCGCAGGTGAAAGAACGAAATGGGATGGGTAGGGGTGGGGGGTGGGGTGAGTGGGAGGATCGGGGTCAAATTTGTTTCTGAGTTGTTTTCACTTTACACATGCGTGATGTGATCCACTTTCTGAGAAAGTGGAACGTTTGTTTTTCTCATTCTTTTTTCTCTCGTTTCGTCCTGTTCCGTTTATTTATTGTTTTCTTATTCACTACTAATTCACTATATCTCTCGCTTTACGCCATCTCTGTTCCCACAGCCCAGATCACGAACGTATTATGACTATGCTTGAATTGTTCGCCATGGACTCCTCCATCGATCCCGCGTAAGTCTCCCTACTACCGATCCATAAAATCGTGGACAAAGAAACAGTGGATAGGAAATTTCTCCTCACTATATCTATCACATCAGTCAGTTGTACACATGGGCAAATATTACAAAATAGGCTATGCCAGTATAGCGGAGGCGAGGATGCTCAATATTTTTTATCTAATTTCTTTTATACCTAATACCGAAATTCGGCAACCCACTGAATACATGGAAATTTTACTACGAAGAACTGCAACACACGGACACACATCGATCATGAACAAAACTCAACACTTCCACTGTCTGGGCGTTGTGTTCTGGCACTTTGTGATCACCAAAGATGACCATCTTACGTTTTACTTTGACTTTTGACCTGCATGAGGATAAGTCGGCTTCCTGGTTGTCTGTGTTGATGGTAGTCCACGTGTGACGATCGGTGTCAAGGTTGGCGCAGCTTCACACCCAGTTCCCATTTCCATTTGCGAGTCCCACACTCGGATTGACAACCAAGTTGTCTCATAATCGTCTTGACCGTATTGCTCCAGGTCCTCACCTCGCCACCGATATCCACGGTCGGGTTCAGAGACTACAGCCTGCTGCGAGAGTTCAGTGTTGGGTCTCCGGAGCACGTGGCCCAACCACTGAAGACTTCGACGTGGTAGTATTTGGGAGAGCTTGTCGATGTTCGAACAGCAACGTCAAACCTCATCATTGGAAATCATATATATTCAGCTTACTTTCGAGATGCGATGTGAGCACCATCACCAAAGACCTCGAGCTTCCTTGCATCTTAAACTTTTAGCAGTCACGTTTCACAACCATAAGCGAGAATGGGGTGGATGGAAGTCTGATAAACCCGAAACTTTGTGTTTAAGCTTATTTCGCATCGATTCCACAGCGGTCTGATCAGTTGCATGAAGGCTGTTCTAGTTCCATCTACACGAAGTTAGATTTCAACTTTAGCCGGGTCCAATTGTAGAGCCAAAATATTTAAAACCCTGGAGTTGGTTCGACAAGCTCCCTGTTAATCGAGAGTTGTGTCGTGGCAGAAGTTTCGGTCTAAAATATTTTGGTTTTTGACGTACTGATCTCAATCCCAATGGCCTGATTGAGCGAACTGATTAATGCTACTAAAAGCACGCTAGAGGTTGTCTACAGCGTGCCCTAGTACGTCGGCATCGTCCGCGAACTCGAGTTACGTAATCCATTGAAATTCTTTTCATCATTTCATATCAGGACGGAATCCTCGATAATATGTGCATACACAGTCGGTCGGTGCATTCTGTGTGTCTCTGATATTGGTCCAGTGTGTTTTTACCCTCCGTCATACACATCGTGTTCTGGACAGGAATCAGTGAACTTCGATTCAATGTATTTCACTNTCTTGAGGAGGAAGAGGATAAAAAATAGTTTAAGGTTGTACTGTATCCACGTCTTTTTTTGCCACTTCTCTCTCTCTCTCAATTGGTCGCTATTTCTGTTCTTCCCTCCCACTTTCGTTTACAGTCTACGTTTTGCTTTCTGTGAAAGTTGCTGTGGCACAACAACCGCCCTTAAAAATACCCTGGCATTGTTTGACACAGAACTGTCCAGTACTCATGAGTTGGCATGGCGTTTCCTCACAATCTGGCTTGTCTATTGTCTCCTAGTTCGTCCAGCTACTGAGGATCGTGCTGATAATCACTTNACAACTGACCTCAGTCGGAGCGGACATTCTGGCTCGCTTTCCATCTGATCTGGCTCAGCTTTTCAACGAAATCGATCCGGAATACACCTTGATCAGTATTGCGGCCAAATTTGACTTATGTCCGGTACGTAGTAATTAGTTTGTCAGTCATACACTTGTTATACTGACTAAGCAGCGTTTACTCTGTTAATGTTCTCTTGTCATCTTTGTTGGTGTTGTTGTTTCGTGCAGACCTTTCATGAACGAATGGCCTATAAATCTCTTGCTGGTCGTCACCTCGGGTGCGTGTGCAATGTGTTATGTGACTGTTTTTCACTATCAAATCTGATGGAGGATAAACAGACCGGATTGGATCACACGCAGATTCCGAATTGTTCCCGTGAAACTCTGTGCTCGATTGGCTTCCAGGCCGCTTCGCTACTGGTCCGACATTGTGCTGTTTTACTGTATTCCCCAGTGACCGGTGGTCCCAATGGATCGAGTCTGGAACAAGTGATAGATTCATTCGTTCTCCCTCGCCAGCTGTACGAATGGAACAAGATCAAATCCGGTCCACATGGGACGAGCAATGACCGACCGTTATCGGCGCTGGCTATCGAATGCATGCGCGACAAATTTCCCGAAGTAAGTTTTTTCCTGAGTTCTCGTTCTAGCAGTTCACCCCGGATGGGGGACGGCTGAAAACCCTGATTCGAAACCTCACCACAAGGCATAAGTCGTTCATTGAAGCAAGTAGTCGACCTTCGGTGGCTGGGACATGTGTTATGCATGTCACCAGATAGGTTGTCACGGCGAGCAGTGTTTGCCGAGACAAGTGGCGGTTGGAAGAGAGGTCAAACGAGGACCTAGCATGAAGGTATGAAAACTCTAACCAGGAGACTAGGTCACATAGGTCCCGTTAAGCTTTCTGATTGGGGACCCTGAGATCATGATAACCGATGGTTAGAGATACTGAGCGATATGGCTGGATGTCGTAAACAGTGGCATTGGTGCATCTACTCATTATTCTTGTAACTTCAGTATATATAAATTCGCTATCTTTCGCTTGAATTTGCTCTCAAAATTCTAATCTTCATTCTGCTGTTTTATCCAAATGGTCAACCAAAAGACAGCAACCAAACCCGGAGCACGAGGGTGCATGGTTAATGGTTGTAAGAACTAAACTGACAACCACATGGTATGCGAGCCACATACACACATTGCGGGTGTTGTCAGTGTTCACCGACTCCATCGGGCTTCCAGTTGTGTTGTTCTCTCAACTATGGTTTTTCGGTCCTTGATTAGTTTTCACTTTATCACCCTATGTGACCCATTTGAATAATATGAGTAATCTAATTTTTCGGTTCTGGACAATTTTAATCACATTTCAATTTTATTACACTCCTCGTCAACGTGCTGGGAAATAATAATGATGTTTCCCAAATATGCACTTTCGTGCACCGGGGTTTTGACTGTTGTCATTTCGGCCATGGGTGAAACTGTGGTCTATACAACCTCGACCGGGTCTGCCTGATTCTCACGCATATACGCTTCACGTGCGGCAGGCAATCGGTGGCCAGCGAGAAAGTTTAGAGGCAGTGTTGATTAAACTAATTCCTCTGTGGTTTTCACCAGAGGATCTATCATCTTTTTGCAAAGCGGTAAGATGACGGATTCACATTATTCCGCTGGAGCCTGTTTGCTCTCCCGCACCGAAACCAGGAGTTTCGTTAACTCCAAAATCAAGGCTGAACCTCCATCCTTAAAACCCTATGGGGACAGTCCATCTGGACCGGAGGCCTTGTGCCTTTTGAAATAACTTATTTCCCGGGAATCCGCCGTTTCAGAAGGAGGACTGGCACCAGCTGAGAGCATTTGCCCCAGTCAAATTGGGGTTGGGGGGTATTAGGTTTGATGTTGATGGGGGGCCAGTTGAACTGAGTCTCGAAATGTTCAGCCCATCAATCGAGAATCTGTTGCTAATGACAAATCGGTGTGCTATCACATTCCTTAATTTCTTCATTTACGCCTAGTTTCCTTGGGCCCGTATTCCTAATTAGGTGTATGAATATCCCCAATAGCCGCAGCTTTTTCATTTCTCTACACTTCCCTGCCCACCACTTCTCGTGGTCATTCCTCGGACTTTTGATGAGGTGGCTCTCAAGGGTTTTGTGTGCTGTGTCGTATGTGGCATCAGCAAGAAGGGTTCTGCAAGCGTCCGGTAAGGTAGCCAAAGTTCACGAGATCCATCTTTTGTGCCTTGAGCCTGCCCAGGTTCCGCCGTTGTTTTTATTGATATTTGCATAGTGTCTGATTTGCTTCCAGTGTTCATTGAGTCCTTCGGTTGGTGGTTGAACGGATAGGCGATTGGAGACTTCCGCTTCGAAGGATGATTTGCAACAATCGCTAACATTGAATCTTGGGTATCCGTCGCCAGTGGCTTTATTGCGGTTGTTTGCCAGGCGTAAGGAGAATTTGGCTTGCTAGAAAACATGATCCTTATTCACAGATGTTGACCAAACTTGAATTGACATCCTTCAGCAGTAACTGATGGCGATATGATTGAGTGAAGTCCATTGCTATGAAGAAGTTGGCCGCTTCCATATGATACAAGTACCTTTTTTGGAAGGGGTTGCGACGAACCAGCGGTTACTTGGACGCAATACAGAACCGCTGGAGGTAGGTGAGAGTAATGAGATTCGAACTATTCAACTCCGAGTCCCCGTATTGAAAACCTTAATCGTTTGTTCACCCAGGCCCAGCACCATAGCCTGAGCAAACACATTGAGTACTTTTCTCAGGACGCAGATATATTACGCATTCATTCGAACCGTCCGATCTACGCATCAAATCTTTTTTGACGAAAGCTCAATGCTTACACGAAAATACCGTCGTGTTTTCGTTTACTGTCCGTGAATACTTAGATACAGGTAGAAGAAATATGCATTAAGCAGAGCCTGTACACGCATAGATGAGTGAGGATTTGGTGACTGGTAATGTGCTTCTCCACTAAAATGATGGCGGATGATATCAGTCGAGAAGGCATACACTCACTGGTCCGGTCCGTCGTGTGTGTGTGTGTTCGATTTCTCTTTCCATTAATCTCACTTTTTAAACCCGATTGAAACACAGGAACAACCCAGTCCGGCTTGATTGACCTGTTCGATTCTCGATCGCCTTGAATCCCATAGGGTTTGATAGTCAACTTCCAACCCGAGTGTACGTGATGACGAC